AAACGTATTTTGGAGAGACAAATACCTGTATCATCCAGTCTCAAAAATTTAATCACATTTTTAATATCTCCCCAGCCTGAGAATGAGACCTTGCTTTATCAGATTACACTCCACTGGGTGGAGTTTATTTTTCAGTTTAGTTTCAAAGACAAATTGATTTTTTGTAACCTGCCTTCAATATTACCCCAGCAGTGGCAATCAGCAGTGGGGAAAAGCTGACTCGCCCTCTACACGGGCTAGATAATTGTAGAGGTGCTACTTGTCCTTTTTAGTCAGCCTTGCTTCAATGCACTGAGCCATACTCCTTTCCTTCCCTGAGCGAGGATACAAGTGATGAATTCCAGAAAAATATGCCATCTGAAATGAGTAGTGGAGATAGGTGGTGCACTATGTAATGGAGTTTCACAATGATATATTAAAAATAGAGAGATTAAAAGTAAACTGCCTTTTTATATGATATTACAGAAAATCTCTGCCAAGTTTATATTCATTAAAAAGAAAATGCCCTACTTAAGTAACTATTGAAATGCAGTTAGGAAGTAAGAACTTGAAGAAAATTACTTTATTAAAGGTCTTTCTCTTCCTAGCCAATATGAAAGCATCAAATTGAAAATACTACACTATCATCTATTAGGAAGGCCACTTAAACTGTCTATGACCTGTTATTTGTCAGTCACTGGAAGGCACTCAACAGACACTAGCACTTTTCTGGGATGTACCACACAGCCTACACTAACTGACAAGCTGCCTAAATGACAAGCTTTTTCTGGTGCCAAAGAAACCAACTTCAGAAAATGTCCATTTCTTTGTTGGTTTCAAGATGAAAAGCTATAGATGAAAGCAGTATTGCTAATATGACAAATGATGAAAGGGCAGTTCTGTGGCAGAGCCAGTTTAACAAAGCCCATGAACTCAGGAGGCTCCTCTGGAGTACAGAGGGCAGGGACAGCACCAAGACTGTACAGACCAGCCACTGAGTATCTGGTGTCAGTACCAGAAACAAAGTCTCAGCTGCAGGGAGTTAAATCAGATCTGAATAAAAAGTCCCCATGACTCACAAGATCTGAAATAATGATGTGAGCTATAAGGAACACTTGAAAACTACAGAAGAAGCTATGCAAAACTCCTTTGGTGCTTGTGCTAGAGGATATGCCAAACGCTCAACCTGTATTAGCAAGGACACAGTGTGAAGAATTGCCAAATAGTAATAAGTCCCCACAGTAGACAGGGCCTCACCATAGCACCTGTGGCTTTGTATGGAGACCTAAAATCAATTTACCACACTTCAATCCAGATTCTCACCATGACTGAATTTTGTATCTATATTGATATACAGATCCAAATCACGTTACTGTCTTCTATAGCAGGTGTACATCACAGCATCAGTTACACTGCAAAAGTGTGCTTGATTGTGTATAGAATCAGGCCTTCCTTTCACAGATAGGCACTGCCCTTCTTATTATAGTTAACACTGTGAATCTTAACTGGCTCCAAAAATAGAACTGTAAATGTGACTTCTATAAGCAGGGCTTTTTCAGTGCTTGGGGTTTTTTTGTGTGGTTTTTGTTTTGTTTTGTTTTTTCTGGAAAGAGGTACAACCTAATTATCTGAATCATTGCTACTGAAACAAACTGCAGCATTGTATGTACATGGAATAAATATTTTTAAAAGCTTTAAAGCAACAAAATATATAAATCAATGTGAAACTAGCAACTAAAATTTTTTAGCTATTTGAAGAAATTTGCTGGAAGGCTTGCAGGTTGTCTATATAAGACTCCCACGCTCCAGTCTTTCCAGACATGCTGTTGTGCTTGATTAATTACAGAAATTAGGAAGAGGTGATACTTTTGCAGTGACTGATGTTTTCTTATAATTAAATCAATCTAGTATATGCTCTCCAGAAAGCATTAGGATATGAAATTTTCATAAAACACCAACCTATGTGTCATCTGGAAAATTACAAATGTAATATTTAGATGGATGTCTTTGGTAAAAATAAAAACTGTGGGCTCTTTAATTTCATAGAAATATAGTATCATAAATTTATTCTGCATATCATATATTAAAATAATGTTATGCAAATAGGCATGACAGTTAAATAAGGTTTTAGAATAAGACTGTTTAAATGAATAGGTAATATTTTAAAATGTCAGTTAACACACCACGAAAAAAGAAAGCTCAATTTAATTAGGTTGGTCATTCGAGGCTTAGGTAGGATAAGGATTAGCATGTAGAGTAACATAAGGAAGCCCACAGCTATGCGTGGGTTTTACACAGGTACTCATTTCCATCCAATCAAAGAATTAGCGTAACAAATGCTGGCTTATATGGTGCTTTGGTGCTTATGACAGAAGAGACCTCAAGAAAAAAGCTGTGTTGCCATATAAAGGTCAGGCATGGTTGACAGAGAATTGGGAAAAAAATCTTTTTAAAAATATTGTTTTTCTGCAAATCTGTAGTAGGGTTGTACAGACAAGATTTTGTATAGTTAGCTTATGTAAACTTTATTTTTATTTATTTATCTATCAAAAGAAAAAATATATAGTACCAGTAGAGAAGATACTTACCTGCAATCACTGGCATAGTCCAGTGGAACTGGAAAAGCAAGATAGAGGGTTTGGGGTAATATGCAAACTTCTACCTTAAATAATTTTCTTTTCATGTGCAGAGAAATCAAGCAATTGACAGTATTTTTTTTCAACATGACTTAACTTGGTTCCCATAGACTGCAGTGCACTGGAGAAAGCAGAGCTGGAAGATGGAGCAGAAAGTGAGAAAATGAGGTCACAAGGGCCATTCACATGCCAAATGTGTACCTAATTTTCATAACCACAGGACTGAGGTAGATGGCATGTATTTATAAAACAAACTGACTGTTGCTTAGCATATTCAGAGCAATAATTGCAAGTATAATACAAGTATTGCTCTTTGGAAGTCCTGAGGACTGCCAGCCCAAAATGTTGGAACAGCACATTAATTGTTCTCAACTACTGTATCACACTCCAGTTTGAAAGGAAAATAATAATAACAGATTTGTACTGTTTTTGAGGTGAAAGTAACAGACAAGCATTATTTAAAAACTAAAACAAAAAAAATAATATCTTTGATGCTTGCTAAAAGATATTTTCCTTTTCACTTTTATGTAGGAGTATCTTCAAAAATATTCTGAAAGCTGGGCTTTTTTTAACCAATCCTGACTTTAGCACATGCTTCGGCTACATGTTTTTAGCTACTTTCTTCTCAAAACAACTGTTCACAGCTGCACTGCGCTTATTCAGTGGAAATTATCAGCTTGTGTATATTGATTGTGTTATTGACTCTGCGTTTGCCAAAAGAATGCAGGCCCATGTACATTCCAGGCAATCAGATAAAGAAAGTCTGTTTAGAAATATGCCATACTGGTACGTTTTTATAATAGGTTTTTTGTCATGGAGTTATGAGGAATTTCTGGGAGACAATTTATTTTTATTTTTTTTTTTTGGTCTCCAAAATGAAGAACACTATCTAGAAGATACTATAGAAATTGAACAATTAAAAAAATTATTTAATACAAGGAACATAATGAATCCAAACCAAACAGCACAGGTAGTTTCCAAAAGTGGGCATGCTGAAAGAAGACTGAGTCACTGCGTCGAGCAAAGGACACATGTTTTGTGCTGTCAATGCAATACATAATGTTCAAACTCATCCAGTGATACCAGCAATGTCTTTCAGCAGCGCTGGCTGCTTGCATTCAAGCTGAACACAATGTCATCCTGTTTTTATCCATCCTGAATATTATGCCATTTGAAATGTACGTTGATGGCAACTTAACCTTGTTGCCATTAATGTAACTTAATTTATATGTGATCTAAGCCTGTACCAATCAGTAAAATTCGAATGCAACTTTAGGGAGAAAATAAATGCCCTTAGTTATGCTCATCTGGAACATCATAAAATGCAACATTACTAAGCCTCTAAAATAAATTAGAGATAGTCAGGTAATTCAGGAATAGCACACAGCTTAATGGGGTTTGTTCTTGTAGTTTTTTTAATTAGATGTCTATAAGCACTGGTACAGTTTATTCTTTTCAATGAGAACACAGGAGCTGGGTTTTTAAAGTTTCTCACTGGGCCACTACATGTAGAGACATCAAAGTTGTGGGCTACAAAAAGAACATTAAGCTGAAATTCAACAATTTAAAGCATAGTGAAAGATATTTTAAAACTTACATATGTGTCAAATACCACATAGACTCCCCCCAGGTCTACAGCAGGGTAAGGCTCAGTTTGCTGTAAAACCTAAGCCTCTCACATAGCAAACCTGGTTGACTGTGATTTATGAGACAGGAAACACTGTCATTCTCCAGGAGCACAACCAATGAAATTAATCAGAATTAAAAAAAAAACCAAAACAAACAACAAACAAACAACAAAAAAACCCCACAAAAAACCACCTCAGAAACTTCACATTATTGCACATTTAAGTCAAACAAAACTCTCCTGTTGTAGGATGCAAACTGAGCCTGACAGTTCTCCTACTTGCTATCCCAGCACAGTATTTTTTTCTTGACTTTACATGTAGCAGCTAAGCTGGAGCCATTAATATTCTCAACTGCACAGCCACTTAATCCCCCTTTGTTTCATTCCGTAATAACACTTTCTGTGGCCTTAAAAACTGCTCCAAGCTTTGTAGAAGCATTCATAATTCCAACCCTTAAGCACATGTCATTTTATACATTACAAATACTACCACGTTAATCATTTGTCCTTAAAATATAAAGCTAAGAATGTCTTTACAGGATTGGACCTCTAGTCTGCAATGTACTCCTCCACTTAATGGAGATAAGTGAGTGGAATTTTCATTAACCTTTGAATTACTCTTCTTAGTTATAAACAGCAAGACGAAAAATCAAGTAGAAACATATATATATATATATAGCCACATATATGCACACAGACAAAATTAGATATAAAATTTCCATATACTCCAAAACTTCAAAACAAACAAACAAGCTCACCCTTGCCAATGTCAGTGTCCCTTGTTTGCACACATTGCAGCGGACCCTCAGTTTCCCTGGTTTCACAGCTTGGCAGAGATTTTTACAAAAAACATAAAAACTGTTGTATCCAGATGTACCTGTCAGGAATTAAAAAAAAAAAAAGAAAAAAGAAAAAAGAAAAAAGAAATAATTTTACGTATACTGAAAATCAGTAACTGTTTTGAGAGGTTTCTATTTGACTATAAGCGATAGGTACAAAAACATGGATTGACTAATGTTAATGCCTGAAGACCGCATTGTGATCATCTTATCTTGCGTGGTCTAGTTCTTAACACTTCTCAGTAGCTCCTGCTTCTTGATCAATAGTTATAGGTAAACAACACCTTAACTCCTAGAAAATGCATCCTGTCTTGGGTTTGAGCTTACCACTGATGAGCACCAACTGTAATCTTTGGCAAGTGATGTATGAGGGTAATTACTCCAGCTCTCCATCATTTCCATCTTACTTCTAGCCTAAATTTGCCTACCTGCAAGTTTTATCAAGTTCAAATTGCACGAAAATTTCCTTGGATGAAGTTTAAAAGATTAGTTTGTCTGATAACACAGCAAGAAAACAAATATTTAGTTTAGCAAATTCAGTTTTATTCATGGAGGACTGGCAACCATTTCTTTATTCTTGCTGGCAGTGATTTAACCTAGAAAAGTTTGTAAACTGCTGCCAAGATATTAGGCCAAGTAAATTTTCAAGAAAAATGAAATTAAAAGCATTCTGCTCTGTGAAACTACAGAACAGATGATATGCAGAGAATTGGGTAAGCCTGGGGCCATGCTAATGAATTTGATTTCACATGCAATCCTGATTACTGTTTTGCATAAACACCTTTTTAGGATGGCTACTGCTATTCCTCAGAAACTAATAGAAGACTCATAGTCTGGTTTAATCTATACAAGACATCCCCAAGATCAGAGACTCAAGCTTATTATCAGATGTTGGACCGAGATTAGAATTAAACATTTTAATAGATTTTCCCCAATATCAAGATAAATGGTTGTGGAGATTTGACCCATGAACAGTGGTGAACTTCAAATCAACAGCAGTACCTTAGGGATCAAAAGTTTTTCACTGTCTTCCTCCTCATTTTCCTACTTCTCCCTACATTTACCAGCAATATGGTTTCTATGTATATTTGAATCCTAACATCCAACCACAGCCAATATGATCTGGAATACTATTTTAAACATGAATGACTTGCTTTATTTTTACATGTCTTTTACATGATGAAGGTCAGACCCTGTGTTCTGCCAATGAAAATGCCCATTCACTTCCTGATAAACCTGTTCATTGGTGCCCTAACATAAATGTGTAACCATTTTTCAAAATGCATCTTAAGAGAACCGTGTTATTTGAAGAACCTTTTTTCTAACAAAAAGTACATAGATGTCTTCAAAGAAGGTGTACACTGTGGAAAGAAGAAACTTTATACCTCTTTTGCAAGTTTTCACAAGTGTAAGCTATGCAAGAGTACATCAGTGATGTATCCAATACTAATTTTAATAAACTGTTCTATCTAGTATTTTTATTGTGCTTTCCTGGGGAATACTAATCACCATAGCAAACTCACAGGATCACAGAATTATTGAGGCTGGAAAAGACCTTTGAGATCATCAAGTCCAGCCTATGACCTAACACCACATCAGCTAGACCATGGCACCAAGTGCCACACTCAGTCTTTCTTTAAACACCTCTAGGGATGGCGACTCCACCACTTCCCTGGGCAGTCCATTCCAATGTTTGATCACCCTTTCCATGAGGAAGTGTATCCAACCTGAACCTCCCCTGGCACAGCTTCAGGATGTGCCCTCTCATCCTGTCACTAGTTGCTTGGGAGAAGAACCTGATCCCCATGTAACTACAACCTCCCTTCAGGTAGCTGTAGAGAGTGATAAGGTCTCCTCCAGGCTAAACAATCCCAGCTCCCTCAGCCTCTCCTCATAAGACTTTCCCTCTAGTCCCTTCACCAGCCTTGTTGCTCTCCTCTGGACCTGTTGCAGCACCTCAAGATCTTTCTTTAAGGAAGGGGCCCAGAATTGCACATAGTACTCGAGGTGAGGCCTAATCAGTGCTGAGCACAGGGGGAGAATCACATCCCTACTCCTGCTGGCTACACTATTCCTGATACAAGCCAAGATGTCATTGGCCTTGTGGGTCACCTGGGCACACTGCTGGCTCATGTTCAACCAGTTCTCAACCAGTACTCCCAGGTGCCTCTCTGATGGGCTGCTCTTCAGCCACTCTTCCCCCAGCCTATAACATTGCATGTTGTTATTGTGGTCAAAGTGTAGGACTTTGCACTTGGCCTTCTTAAACCTCATACTGTTGGCAACAGAATAAGATCATATTCAAACATTCTGTTGCATCTTATGCAACAGAATTTAAAAATAGTTCAGTTTTTGTGGAAAATTAACACACAACAAAATAATCACACACATGCAAACTTTTAATTTTAATAAGTGCAATCCAAAAGGTTGGGAGCAAATCAGCCTAAAAAACAGTTCTAAGATTAAAATAGAAACCCTTCCAGTCTAACAGACTCAGAACCATCTCAATGAGTACATTAAACCTTACAGAATAAAATATTTTGTTAATTAAACTGACACCTTTCCTGATCAGTCCTCCACTCCCTGATGTCTTGTATCCCTGTCTCACATTTTACACCAAGTTTATTTCAAGCAGTAAACTACTTGAGGAAGGAATCATGCTTTCTGCCTGCTTTGTGTTCTAAACTGATTCCATCTGGACCCAAAGATAAAATTATATTATCGATAATACTCTGCAAAATATTCACAGGATAGTATGGCATAAATCAGCATGACTGAATACTGCAGCAAAAAACAGCAGTCATAGGAGAGGCCTAAAATTAGACATACTGCTGATTTACTATAGAGGATAAATCTTATGCATTAGCTTGATATTTACACCATGCAAAAATATGTTATCTTAGCTCAATATTAATTTTTCATAGCAGTTTCCAGTTTTTTTTTCCCTCTTTCATGAATATAAAAAGTACCCCCAAATACATTCCCTATATACAATTGTGAAACACAAGAAACAAATGTATAATGTAATGAGTTTGAGCAGTTAAGCAGCACAGATCTATACAGAGACTGAGAACTACTTTTGAAATGTCTGCTATAGAAAGGCTGCTGGAGAGGCACAATTCGACAAGAGGAATGCTCTGATTTTAGGAGGAAGTGTAAATGGAGATTTTCAGCAATTAATTCACCATTTTATGCAGATGTGCCGATCTCAGTATCACAAAGTGCAGTCACATCATTACGTCTATGTCGTGAGCAGCAGCATCAGAAGTAGCAAAGCCTGGACTAAAAACTCCAGTGCTGCAACTCATCATACAGTATATATCAGTATAACACTGATAGCCAGCACTAAACTCTTCACTGACTTTTTAATGTCAATATGTATTTTAGTATGGTCCACTGCAACCCCTTGAATCACTTTTCTGAGAAGGACTGAAAGTAACAGGAACAAAGACATCTGCTCAATGCACCAGCTCTGACATAGCAATATAAATAAGAATGTTAATTATGACACAGAGCCAGTAATCAAATAAAATTGTTACAGCACCAAACTTAAAGCTCGTCTTTCCTCCTTCAATCATGGTCTATAAGTTTTCAGAAAGCTTTCAATTTCCTAACAAAAATTGCAGTAAAACATAAAACAAGTCACTGTGCCAAGGATTCAAGGGGAAAAGTACCAACAGGGGTAGTTACAAAATCCCAAAGGAAAAGATGAGGAGGTTATTTCATCTGACACTGCATGTGGAGAGCTTACAGTTTAAAGATCCAAGATACTCAGATGACAGATTTAATCTGTTCTCATTGGCCTTCATTAAAATCTTTCACAAAATCTTTTTTGCTATTAATTCAGATTCTGCTTCTCTCTCTAATGTATTTGCTATCTTAAGCTATTTGTGGATGTAGATCTTCAAGTTAGCCATAGAAAGGAAATAAGGAACGCTTGAATAAGTCACACTGCAGGTTGTATAAGATCAGACCAACTTCTTTTTCCTGTTCAGTTTTAGAGAATTATACAATAAATTACCCAAATCTGAGTATCAGAATTCTGAGATAGAATTTTCTTAGTTTAAAAGCAGGAGTGGGTCTAACAGATAAAATCTGTTGTTCTACTTTGAAAAGCAATTTCTTGATCATATTACACCTCCACCTTCTCCAGTAATTTTTAAACAATGTACATTTCACCGGGACAAGGCTAATATGTATGTCTAACATGTATGAATATATGTATACTTGCACAAATGTGAATTATACATATATGTGTATTCTGTAAATGTATGAGGCACACAGTTGTTGATAACTAAGAATTCAGAAAACAGTCCCTATTTTTCAGTTTTTGCTTTCAAATATCATCAGATAAAACCATTTATTACAAGCTAGTTAGTAAAATGCTTTGTGGTTTTCTCTATTGAGTACATTTAATTATGTTGCTTTTACCAGACCAAAAAAAAAATAAAAAAAAATAATGAAGATACGAATGCAAAAACCTGCTCATTTATGATCCATGTCAGGACTGGTCTTCTTAGCCTAATGAGACAAACTCTCTTTTCTACCTCTTCAAAGCTAATTTACTCACCAATATCCCATCAAAAAAGTATTAAAACTGTTCGCTTCTTTTAGTGTTTTCTATAAAAAGAGAAAGCAGCTTTCTCTGATGTATATTTCAGTGTTTTCTACTGTCTCTCCATTTATATTTTTAAGTTTGTTAAGCCTGAATTACCTTCTTTTTTCTGTGTTGTTAATGGTGAAGATGCTGTGGGAGCTTTATAAATATTAGTGATAGCACAGACCAATTATGTTGATATGCATGACTAGTTAATAAAAAACCATTATTCATTAGTATAGACCTGATCCTGAAATCTCTCATCAGTCAAAACACCCATTATAACCCATATGACTATTTAAGTGAATAAGAACTGAATACAGATATTAGAAGCCAGCCTACCATTCTCATTTAAATAGTATTTTCATATAGATTATAATGATTACTGAGTCTTTCCTTTAACTCAGGTATTTAAAACGGACACAGCTACAGGAAGTCTTT